GAACAAAATTCTAGAAAAAAACAGAAAAATGTCTGTTTGAAGAGAAAAATAAGCTAGAAGTCAGAAATATGAAAAATTATCTAAAAAAAAAAAGTAAAGCATTTTCTTGAGCACATTTTCTAACTCAGTAATTTGTTAATCTCAAAATTTGAGTTTTTTGGTAGAAATGAATTTAAAATCTCTACAGACATAAAATCCACAACGATTCCCAACAATAAAGTCCTGCATTGATGTCTGAAAACCCAAACTGTGTCAGTATTCAGCGTCAACGTTTTCTACATGAGAATATAATAGAAACAGCCATTATTGTCCCAAAGAGGAAACTCAGAGATTAAAAGTTTCTACAAAGTTCTTAAAGTGGTAAAACATATAAAAAGATTAATAACTAACAGAAAATACTGAGGCGTTGCTGGAAGTCGTGATGTGGAACCGAGTCGGATAAAAGAACAAAAACACACAGCAGTTTGGCGCTGATCAGTTTATTGATCCGTTTTTATCATTTCTGTACAAACATGATGGGTCGTCTTCACACCCGAGACGGATACAGCATCTGCAGAGACAGGAAGAGACACCGTCAGAATAAAAGCAGCGGGGCTCCTTCACAATAAGAGAATTATCCCTGTTGGATCGGATCAGAACATGAAACCACAGTTCTGGTTCCACAGAAGTGAAATCAGGATTTATCTGATCAAACTGAATTTATTCCAAAAAGAATCCACCGACATTAAAATCTGGGCCAAGACCAACATTTATTGATTTTAAATATTTCCTAAACTTCAAAAAAAAGCAGGAAATACAACAAAACAGAAAAAATATATGTTACTACTGGTCGATATTTATTGTGCATCTCCAATACATGTTTTTATTTTTCAACAGATTAAGAATCATTTCTGGATGTTTTGGTAAATAAAGAAAATCTGTAAATATTGCAGATTAAAGTTAGAGGTTTGTTAATAAAATCAGAATCAGCCGTTTGAAATTCTGGTGGTAAAAGAACAAGATATTTTTAAAATTTTTAAATTCTGTCAAACAAATGAGTCCAATTTTTAGATTGGAATTTCAAAAGATCCAGTTCTTTCTAGAGCAGCACTGGGAGCCAAACTGGCTGATTTTAAACTGATCAATTATATCAATTACAAGTAGAAATTTAAATTAATCTTTTGTAAAACTATGATTGTTACTGTAAGAAATTAACTTCAGATTCATTTAAATCTCTTTGTTCTCAGAATGGTGGGCTAAACTATTAAATGTTAGAACAGCTTGCCATAGAACTCCAGAACGTTCAAAACTGACACGCAAAACATGCATGTCACGTTTTGAGTATTAAGGTGGAAATATTGCAAAAAGTATCAGTTTTTTAATGTAAACTAACGAAATTATTAGTTTTTCTGTTCTGTCCATGTGTGAAAACTACAGAGTTTGGTGAAACTCAAAACAAAGACGTCTGACCAGCCAAATATCTCAGCACTAAAGTCAAAGCGGTGACCGGTCTGCCAGGTTGATGACGTGACAAACTCTCCTGTGTTTGCAGGTTTGTGACCAGAGCACAAAGAAAGAAGAATCACTATTTCTGCTGCTGGGAATTCTGAAAAATCGATTTTAAAATGCGTTTCAGTTTATACTGAATCCACCGTCTGCATGTTGAACAATTCTATGATCCAGGCCGCTAAGCTAGCCTCATTCTGGTAAAGTAAGTTACAAAATGTTAGAAACAAACCGATCGTTGTTGAACTGATTGAATCGAATCCTGTATGGAGCCTTATAGGATAAGTTTTGAATGAATTCTTTTTCTCTTTCAGTCGCATCATTTAAACAGAAACTACAAACAGCTTGAAAAGAAAAACTGGTTTCTGGATCCAAACGTGAAAATCTGAATCGAAATGCTGCAGCCGCTGCGTTTCCACTTGAAACCTGCAGGAAACTTAATATTCTGCTGGTGTTGAAAAAACATAATTGCAAAATAAAATCAAATACTTTGTTCACACAATAAAACAGTGAAAATCATCCTGGCAATACAAAACAGCTTTTATCGTTGGGATTGTTACATTTACTATTGTCTCTACCGTTTTTCAATAGATATCAATAAACAGAGGAAGTGAGCAGTTTAGGGACATAAATCACATCTCGTTTTCCAAGATCTGTTTGTGGAGCTACGATTACCATGAAAGTCTTACAGTTAACTGAAAACAAGTAGAAGACACGATAAGAACCATTTCTTATCGTCATCACAGTAAATCGTGATGAAACCTTCAGTCTGTGTCGCTCAGCTCTTCTGTGATGAACGTTAACGCTGCTGGTGTACAGCGAGTTTTGGAACCAGGTCAACCCAACCAATAAATGAGCTGAACCAGACCGAACCTGAAGTCTGACCCGGACCTGAACAGAACCTCCAGAAAACCGCCGCAGAACTCACCACCCGGATTCGGTGTCCGATGGCCTTGGCCGGCAGGTTGCTGCTGAACTTGGCTCTGACCATGCCGCTGTTGCCGTGGGCGCGGGTCACCTTCCCCCAGATCACTCTGGTCTTGTTGGGCTTCCCACCGGGCGTCACTGTGTTCCTGCACACACACACACACACACACAGTTTGAGCTGAGGCGGCGGTGGCTGCGTCATGATGCGGGCTGTGGCGCTCACTTCTTGGCCTTGTAGACGTAGGCGCAACGTTTGCCCAGGTAGAAGTCGACCTCATCCCGGCTGTAGCAGCCCTCCAGCTTCAGCAGCGCCGTGTGCTCGCGCTGGTTCCTCAGCCCACGCTTGTAGCCGGTGAAGATGGCCTTACTCCAAAGTCTAGGGTCAGAGGTCAATGGCTCAATTAACACATCATAACTACAAATGAACACCAGTTCCTGAATTTCTTCTAAATTATTAAACGTCGGCAGAAACTTTAGGGAATCTGAGGATAAAGTTACGTTTTCATTCAGCTCCTCCAGAAAAAACGAGACCAGAGAACTCACCTTCCAGGCATCGTTTGTCCTCTTCAGGTGAGTTCACCTGCAAACACACAGTCATTAGAGCAAATCACAAACATTCAGACACGGAGCTGAATGTCATCTGATCTGAAAACCTGCAGAGGAAACCCCAGGTGTTCTGCAGCATCTCTAATCAGAAGCTAATGCTAAACCTCCCTCCGCTCTGGGCTGTTTCACCGTTTATTCCGGGCTGCTTTGATTTGGAAACCGAGCTCGTTTCAAATGTGGACCCATTAGAACCGGAACTGGCTGAGGTTGAGTTCGGCTGCTTATTTTATAGCATTTTTCCAGATTACAGCGGAACTGAACCGAACAGGACAAGCAGAAACGTGGGGTAGCTGAACGTCAGAGCGGACGGTGAATCCTGGCCTTTACCGATTTATAACAAAGTTCGGCAGCCAAACTGAATGTTTGTGACACAAACAGACCCCGAATCTACTCTGAAGACCAGAGACACATCCGCCTAGCTCAGAATGGGGTTAACAGCTGCTTATTCCCCCTGCAGAGGAGAGGCTGAGTCTTAATCGGCTCCGCTAATTTCTGTTAGCTCTACTATCCGTTTTAAATCTCCGCCATCGGAGATCCCACCGCTGACATAATCTCCCCGAATTATAGAGGACAGTCTTCTCTCTCTACACAAGTGAATATTTAAAGCAGATAGACCAATGTGTGGGTGATTTTCAGCTTTAATCGGACAGATACACATTTACCTGCGAACAGTCCACAAAGATGGAGGAAAAGACAGGACCCAAGGCCTGCCGGGTAGTCAGTCCCGGGAGCTGCCCATTAGGATGCCTGATCAAAATATCAAAAACACCTCTTTTAAAACAAAGAATTAAACATTTTAATGTTCAATATTAACTACTATCACAATTAATGAAAAATAAAAAGTAAATAATCAGCCGTGAAATTAATAAGTTCCTGTAAATCATCGCAATTTTGCAGTTGTAGTAAAAGTTTTCATTTATCAAACTGAGTTTCTAATTTTCTTGGGGTGTTTGTTGGATGGTGTGCAGTTTCCTTCTGGGCTGGCTATACATGTTTTCAAGAAGTTCAGGGATATTTAGCAAATTCAAAAAAGTCCAGAAAGAGCATAGCATGAATAGCTCCAGTTGTCTCTCCTCGCCACTAGTAGGCACTGTGGTACAAGTTTCTGGAATCAATATACTGTATTATTTAACATTGCATATCAATGATTTTGTGTTTGTAATCATAAACTAGCTGCATATCAACTTTACTTAGCTAACTACAACTAAGCAGTAAAAGTTAGGCATTTTCTTTTATTTACAGTTCATGTAAAAAATAATATTTATTAGAAATTGTTTTTTGCTTCTGTTTCCTATTGGATGAAAACAAACCACGTGGAGACGTGTAAACGGATATTTTATGTAATAAAACAGATCAGGTTGTATTCACTACGAGGAATCAAAGTCTTATACTTCAAGTAAAAATGTGTTCATCTTTATAACACTGAAGAGATTAAAAGCAGCTCCCTTAAGGGAAAAAAACTGTTGATTTTACTTTATTATTGTTTTATTTCTACAGAAGCGGATTAGATACACTGATCAAACAAATTCTGAATAATTTTTTTCAGTCATGTTATTTTTGTGACCCAAAATAATCTGTATAATTTTCATTGTATGTGAGTTTTTATTTTACATTTGTGATTTATGTGATAGTTCAACATCGATTCTGTTCCCATTTTCAGATCTGCATTCAAACCCACCGGTTTAAGACCACACTGTGAACATTTAGTGTAGATTTAGAATTGTATTCATTTATTATTATTTTCATACAATGAGACAAGAACTGCCTGTTATTGTGACATAACAGCCAGTTACAGTAACTAACTGGCTCCTGTTGTCTGGGAGAACCATCAGAATAAACAGGAAAAAACAATGGAATAAAGGAGAGATGTTACGATGGTTAGGGTCGGAATAACGTCGCCCTGTACCAGTCCAATCCCTCACCCAACAACGGCCCAGACAAGCAGAAATGTTTAAAATCATACACACAAAAATGGAGAAAAATCACATTAAAATATTTATTTTTTATTTAAACTCTTCAAACAGTCGGATTTATCTTTTATACAAAAAAAAGGTAAAATCATGTTTGTCCTTTAAAATGGTGGAATGTCCTTTAAAAACAGTGAGACTGCGTCATGTGACTGGCCACTGCTGCAGGACAGAAACTTGAATTCAATGTCTTCACTACGCCAAGTCACCTGTCCTCAGAAACCCAGCTGCTGATTTTCCCCAAGTTCAGTCTGACAGGCAGAACTCAGCCTGGCGGTATGAAATCAGTCTGGCAGTTTAAACTCTGGGCGCCACAGGGAAAAAACATGAGCTAAGCTTGTGCACAAACTGTGAGAACTGTTTTTAGGTTAGTGTTTAGTGACGTCCCACTGCGCCTGAACGCAGCACAACTCCTCAGTAAACATGTTTTAAATTAAAAAGCCGCTTCCTGTTGTCGTCTTCTTTCTCCACTAAAACGAGCTCCATAAATAAAAGTAGTGCGCTCGGAGCAGGATGAACCGCTACAGCAAACCAACAGTGACCTTTAACCTGCAGCGTCGCCATGGCAACAGACAGGCTTCAGCTTCATATGTACAACATATCTACACATGTATATATATATATTTATATTTATATATATTTACAGGAGTTTTCTGAACACTAACTGCTCCGTTACAGGGTGAAAATCAGAACAACAGGAAATCCAAACAGCTGAATGTAAACAACAATAAAAACAAACATACATATATGTATAAACATGATTTCATCTGTTGGCCCCAGGATTGGCGGAAAGCCTGACAGTCAGAGTTCAGGGTTCAGTCAGAAAGATCAAAGCGACTTTGGATCTGATGGAGACCAGAAACAAAGAAAACATCAAAAATGGAACCGACTCTAAAACTGAGGAACGCCCAGCTCTCTGCTGATTGGTCGGCTTTCTACAGCCAACCAATCAGAGGACAGAGGCCAAGAAAGAGCCTGGAGAAACAAACCGGATTTTAAACAAAACTTCTGCTTTTCACTGCAACCTAAGGTATGAAGTTGAGTAAATAAAATAAATATTTGCCATTTTTAAGGTAGCACTGTTATAATTTCCATATCTGAAGTAAAATAATCATATCAAACACAGCTTGTGTTCGCTATTGTAACATGAGCTTTAACTAACTGTGTAGCTAACAGCTAACTAACTTAGCCAGAGTTTTTGCTTTCCTAAACTTTGGCCTCTTATCAGTTCAAATGGTTTACCAAAAGTAATTCAGTCATTTTAAAAGTGAGAAAAATAAACTGTTCATAAGCTGAAAATTGAAAATACATTTAAAAACTATTTTAAAAACTATTTACAGTTGAAAATAATCATTGGCATAAAGCTAGCAATCTTTTCTTTTGTATCTTTGTTTCTGTTGTCCCTGTTAGAAGCTAGTAATGTTGACTAGAAATGTTCATTTTTAATTTCTGGACTTTAGGACATATATTTTCCTGTTTTGTCTTCATCATTCACTTTTCATTATGCTAACAGCTTAAGGTAACTCTTTTAGCAACTTAGCAACTATACATCAGAAATCTTGCTTTTCTCACTGAAGCCATTTGGGCCTATAAGCCACCTAAGCACAGTTCAACAGAATGCTAGCTAATGCTAGCTGAAGCTAATGATGTACGGTAGCAACAAACAAAGCTAAATTAAGAACTGCTAGGTAATCTCACCAGTCATCAACATTATTGTGATACATTTAGTGCAACTTAAATATAATAACAAATTTAATCAACAGTAGCTACTGATTAGCGTTAGCATCATTTTAGCATTTAGCTATCAAAGCTTCAGTCGTATATCAGCTAGACAGCATGTTATCGTAATGTCAGTTGTATACACAATTTTATTTTTTGAGTATTTCATTATTTTATAACTTAAGCAGTTGTTTCAACTGAACTTATTGAAGAAGTGCTTTCAAACTAAATCAGACAGTAATTAGCTTTATTATCATCCTTAACCATCAGGTCATTTTAAAGTTCTATAGATACAAAAAGCATTGTCTGGAAAAAAAAGTAGTCAACAAAAATTAGAAACAGTGTTATGTGCAAAAAACAGCAAAGCCTGAAACTTTAGTTATGGTTTCAGTTTTAGGGTTCAGTGCCTACAAACATGAATACGAACCAAACTCTTGAGTTTGGGAGTAAATTTGACCTTTAGCGTTTCACCAGATATATATATTCCCCGAAACTAAAATGAAAAACTGACGTCTTTATGTTGACAGAGAGAAAAAAATAATATTTACATCTAATCAGTAAGATTTTAATGAACGGTTTGCCAACTTCGTCAGCTTTCAGTGTTTGCGCTCTTTGCCTCCCTTTAGGACTCGTTCTGTTTCTGCGGATCTGCTCTCTGTTTGGGACTCGTTCGCTTTCCCACAACTTGCCTGGTTACATAAAATCCATTTGGTTTCTCAAGACTCGCTTTCTTTCTCTGGCCTGTTTTCTTCCTTAAAACTTGCTTTCTTTCTCAGGACTAGATCTGTTCCTTGAGACTCGTTTGGTTCCTCCAGAATCGTTTGTTTTCCGAAGACTCGTTCAGTTTCTCTGGCCGATTCTCTTTCTCAGGACTCGCTTCCTTTCTCCTGGCTATTTCAGTTCCCTTGAACCTGTTCAGTTTCCAAAGACTCTTCCTCTGGCTTACTCTTTTATCAGGACTTACTCCCTGTTGAGTAACTACTTCAGTTCCTGATCTCGTTTACATTCTGTGGCCTATTTTCTTTCTCAGGACTTGTTCTGTTTCCCATGTCTTGTCTCGTTAAACCAGAGCCATTTGGTTTCTCAAGACTCGCTTTCTGTCTCTGGTCTGTTTGTTCTTTCTTTCTAGTTCAGTTTTTACAGACTCCTCCGGTTTCTCAAGACTAGTTCAGTTTCTCTGTCATGTACTCTATCTCAAGGACTTGCTCCCTTCCTGAGACTCGTTAAGTTTCCAAAGACTAGTCTCGTTACTCAAGACTCATACAGACTACGAATCAGAACTAGTTTCTCAAGACTAGTTAAGTTCTTCAGGACTCACTTAGTTTTTCAGGACTCGTTCAGTTTCTAAAGACTCGTTCAGTTTCTAAAGACTCGTTCAGTTCAGTCGTGATAGTTTGATCTCAGCTCTTTGTGTCTCCATCAGATCCACATGCAGCTTCCAGCAGGTTACCAGTCCTGCACCAGTAGGAAAGCCTCTGTTTGACTCCCGTGTACTGGGATCAGTACTGGGATCAGTACTGGGATCAGTACTGGGATCAGTACTGGGATCAGTACTGGGATCAGTACTGGGATCAGTACTGGGATCAGTACTGGGATCAGTACTGGGATCAGTACTGGGATCAGTACTGGGATCAGTACTGGGATCAGTGAGAATGCCTCAAACATACAGACAAAAACACTCACCTGCCAGAAGTCTGTATGGACACTGTATGGAAGCCCATTTGAGCAAAAACTAAATCAACCAGCATGGAAAAAGCTAAAATCAAAAAGTATGGTAAATTAGTGTAAAATGTAACTTTTCACACAAAAGTAAATAGTTTTTAAATGTATTTTTACAATTTGATTGGTATGTACTTTAGATTAATTTAAAGGATTGAGAGAAAATTTTTAAAATAAAATTTTCCACTCACTTTATAAAAAATATTCCCACTGAAAAGCAAAACAATCAGATGTTCCACAAGAACAAAACGGTCAAAAACTCTCTGCCTGAGTTGGATTTTTCCCAACCAATAGTCTAAAAACGTTTTAGAGTTTAAAAAATATCTTGATTATGCGTTTTTCCTCCAGTCAAAGCAGTAAAACCTGCTGTTACCATGGAAACTCGGACATTAATGTTGATCTGCATCAATCAGCACAACCAAACATTATCAACATTTTCATTTATAACTCCTGATTTTAACTTCCTGGCACTGATGGGCTTCCATACGCCACACAGCTTCCTGAACGGCATCACAACGACTCGTTTCTGGCTGTGGGAACTCGGCGAGCTCTGATTGGTTGTTACAGGAGGCCGACTGAGCGCGTGCAGCGGCTAGATGATGACGGAGGGCCCAGGTGGCGTTGCTGTCGTCATGGAGATGGACTGCTTGGGCGGAGCCAGGTCCAGCAGCGCGCTGACCGTCCCGGCCACCTGGGGGAGCCCTCGCTCCTCCAGGATGTGGAGCGGAAGACACAACTTAGTCTGCACAGACAAACACCACAGAAGAAGAGCAGACAGCGACGGGAGGGGCGTCAACAGAAAGGTGGGTCAAACGATGACAACTTAAATTAAGGAACAAAACAACCGTAACCATGGCAACTCAGGGAAAAGAAGCAGGAAGAACAGGAAGTGATGTGGGATGGAGGGAAGGAATGCTGCTGCTGAGCACTGCCACTCAGCAGCCTGAAGGGCTGTCATTTTCTCTCCCTCACAAGTAGGGCAGCAACAGGGATGCGAATCTTCCAGCATCCTGCGATTCGATTTTCATTTCAGAAACCAATTTGTTTCTGCGGTAAATTTTGGACACGAGATGAAAAGACAAATAAAAGATATATTTAAAAAATTCTAACAGTTTCCAGTTCTGTAACTTAATTCACCGGTATTCGGTTGGCTTAGCTGCCTGCCTTTTTATTAAAAAAAAGAAAAGAAAAAATTCAAAATATAATTTTAAGCAGAATTAAAATCAATTCAAATGGAATTTGATTCGATTCAGAATTGCCAGGAGCAGAATTAAGATTCTTTACAGAATTTATTTTTCCTTCCAATCTAAAATGCAACTACTGTAATTATTTTAGTAATCGATTATTCTGATGATCAAATCTGCAGATTTTTCACGTAAACGCTTACGTCTTAAGAGTTACATAAAAATAGAAATATATTTACTGGAGGGTTTTTTTTACCAAATTTGAACGAGGCGGAGCTAAAACGGCTGCTGTTATTATTCTGGGTGTAAAATAAAAAAGACAATGGTTGCTTTTTATATCTTAGCTGTAAATGTTAATATTTGTTGTAAAGTTTTGACTTCATTGCAGCTCCAAGTGTGTCGTTCTTAAGGCAAATTCTGTTTGTAGTTGAGTCTGTGTTGTGCAGTTAACGGTTAATCAATTATCAAACCAGCTGGCTCATCTGATTAATCTGATTAATGGTTTCAGGAGGAGAAAAGCTTGGAAGTATTTCTGCTAACTCAGCAGAGCTCAGAGAAAAAAATGAGTCAAAATGTTTTTCTGGACTTTATTTAGAGAATCGAGAAGAAAACTCCAAACCGATCCGAGGTTAAAAACACATCATCATCATCATCATTCTTCATCTTATAAAAAGGGGAACGTTCAGGGGGTGTGACCTCATCCTGACCTCACAGCAGCAGCAACAGAACAAAACGGTTACAATGGAGACGATTCCCAGAGTCCCGCACTCGGTTCTGTTTGGTTCCGAACGGTAAAAAACACTCAGACAGGCAGGCGGACGTAAGGCACGAGGGGGCGGAGCTTCAGCAGGCAGGAAACGGGCCAAACGGACAGGAAGTTCTGCCTCCAGCTGAGGCCTGATCCTCTACAACTCGGCGAACAACGGCAAAGACGGCAAAGACACGTCACGGCTTGTCCTCAGGTCCACAAAATCCCAGTCCGAGCCAAAAAACGTCCTGGCACATGTCAGAGAAAAGATCCAAAAGACCCAAGTCCAAGTCAGAGTCCAAATGTCCCAGTGCAGTCAGAAGACTCAAACTAACCTAACAAATCCCAGTCAAACCCACAGAATCTGGGCTGCGTCCAAAATGTTTGCTCTGAGTCCACAAGCCCCAAAACCATCCCAGTTCAGGTCCACAAGTCCCAGTCCAGTTTCTAATGCTGCGTTCAGACCGAACGCGACCCGATGCTCAGAATGGATGCACCTCTGCGGTGCATCGCCGGGCGCGTCGCTGGGCGCGTCAATCAGAGAGACTCCGCTATGTGACGTATTGACAGGATGAGGAGGCCCCGATGCTAATCAGCAAGCTAACTGCCAGAGAGCAAAGATGGCAGACAGGGTTGTGTCCTCCATGTCTGCCATCAGAGCACAACGAACACCAGACGATTCTGATGCTCGTCAAGCGTCATGATTGAGGCGCTGGATGCAGTTCGGTCTGAACGCAGCTTTCGCTAGGCTACGTTCACAAAGCAGGCAAACGCGACCCAAATCCAAGGTTTTCATTTCAGATCTGACTTTTCCCACAGCAGTCTGAGCAGATCAAAAACTCCAGTCTGTCACTTCCATACGTACATGAGATCAAGTAGTTGAACGATGACAAAATATAACACCTGTGATTAACTGGGTTTTGTGAAATGGATGTAAGTCATTTTATGGCCTTAATCTCAAGCACATTAATTTAAGATGTTTAAAGATGCAGAGGCCCGGTACCGACCGGTTGATCTGCAGGATGTTAGATCTGGACTGGACTTGGACGACCCGACACTAGAGGTACAGACCATCCCAACTGGACCCGGCGTTCTCCAGAGGGAACCTGCAGTTGTGCTTGTTCATGAAGTATTCCACGTTTCCGTGCGTCAGGAACGGTGTGGCTACAGCGGGAGACGACAGCTAAACGTGGGACGGCCCGAACCCGACGGAGGTCCTGCAGACGTTCCAGTCGGGTCTAAGTGTGCGGCGCCAGGTGAACGTAGATGGCGCAGAGCGCCGACATGACGGACAGGTAAAACAGGGCAAAGCCGGCCATCTGGACCTGGAGGGAGGGGCTAAGAGTGGGCGGGGCCATTGAGAGCAACACCTGCAGCGTGCCGTAAACCCCGCCCCCTTTCCCCTCCAGAACGTCGCCCACCGAGCAGAGGCGGTCCTGAGTGTGTGGGTGTGATGGGCACAGTGGAGGATAAAAACAAGGAAGGAATGAAACAGGAAGCAAAATGGAAGACGGGATGAGGAGAAGAAAGGCAGCTGTTAGTTTAGAAAGAGGAGAAGAAGAAGAAACTTCATCAGACGGTTCAGATTGAATCCAAACGTCTGAACAGCCACTTCTGTTACAACAATCAGTTTAAAAGCTCATCTCATCTTGAGCAGGAAGTCAACAGCCAGATCGCTGAGAGGACGGTTGCTGTTTGTGAGCATAAAGTTTCTGATTCACAACCAGCCTCTCTGAGCAGGTTTGGCTAAACCAGCGTTAGCACTTTCCACAGAGTTGGAGCCAAAATTAGATGTTTAATCTAACTTCACCACATGTGAAATATTATTTTAAGTCAGGCTGCAATTACTTTAATAATCAATTATTCTGACAATCAATTGGATAAAAAAATTGCACATTCTGCAGATTTTTCTTTCAATCAGTTATTCTTGTTTTATACAATATTAGAAATACAAATAAATAATCTACACCATTTAATAAATAAGAAAATCAAAATTTTATTAAACTATTAGCCAAAATTGAAATGAGCAGTTCAGGCTGGAATTATCCAGAAGGATTTTTTATTATTATTATTTGTCTTCAGTTGTTATTCCACACTGTGGTGAATTACAGACTGAATGGCTCAACACAGGAAGCTTTTAAGCTCCTGGTTGGGCTGCCGGTCTGATAGGTATCTATGTATTAGTGTTGATGTTTAGCTCGTCCTCCCTACTGTCTGCAGTCTGACTGGTTTGGATTCAGCCTCCGCCTCCAAGGTGTGTGTTTACCTGTGGGACTCCGATCCTGCGACACGCCTCCAGGAAGTTCTCCACGTTGCGGCGACACTTGGCCATGGTGAGCTTAGGCTGCAGGGACAGAGAGAGGTCAGCGGAGGTCAGCTGGGGCAGCAGCATCGACTGACCAATCAGAGACACTCACCACAGCGGGGGACGGGACGTGGATGCTGGGGACGGAGCGCGGCCTCACGTGATTGGCCAGGTGGCACAGCACCACGCCGTCCGTCAGGGCGGCGCCCAGGTCGCTCGGCAGCGCCACCTTCAGGCGGGCCTCGATGTTCTGGGTTGGAGGAGAGAGTTGGTGAGCAGACCAAACACAGAGCAGTAAAGGCGGAGGAGGCGGAGCTACGTACCTTCCTGAGCTGCTCCACCAGCACTGCGTCTTCGCCCACCAGAGGAGGAGCAGCAGGAGCTTCCTCTTTGGGTTGAGGTGGCGCAGCGACAGCGTCCCCTGCAGGGCAGAGAGGGAACAGTCACACTCCAGCTACAGATGTTTTCCATCTTTGGCTAAAGACCAGGAGCCATTTCTGCTGCTAGCGCTAGGCTAGCAGGTTTGTTTTGGTTTTATTTACCCAGAAAACCTTGCGATAACATTCACATATCCATTCAATATTGCAGGTGAAAATACACTCACCTTTTCTCTTCTCGTCCCTCTGACCGAGGCGATACAGGAAGCTCTCCGGCCGCAGGCTGGACGTCCGACTGGAAGTCCCGCCTCCTGAGCCAGGGTACGAAGGCGATTGATTGGCTGAGAGAAAACAGAAGGCTCAGAGTGGGCGGGACTGTAGGTGAGGTTAGTGCAGGATTCAGGTTGGTTTTGCTCTTACCTGTAGGAGACAAGGTGGCTCTGTCCTCCCCCTGCTGAGAAGACAAAACACAGGACTGTTACACACCTGGACACACCCGGGAGAAGGTGTGTCCAGGTGCTGCGAGAGCAAAACCAGACAGGAAACCAGTAGGGAAGAGGAAGTATCAACAATTTAAATCAACATGCAAAAACAGAGGGACAGAGGTCAGGTCAGGGTCAGAGGTCAGAAACCAGAAGGAAGAGGTTTTCTTTCATCTTTGGACCAGAAACCAACAGAGTGCAATCTGTGATGTCACATGCAGAAAACCCACTGATCCCTTTGCATGCTTTTATTTTGGAAACCGTTAATGAGATGCGAGCTTGTGGGTGGAGCTACAAGCTCTTACCATGATGAGGGCGGAGTCATCTGTGTGGGTGGAGCGCCTGGAGGGGTAGACGTTCTGACAACAAACACCAGACACACATCAACAGACACAAAGGGGTGTGGCCTAAACACAGGGGCGGGGCTACGGCTCTGCGCTGTCCAATCAACACGAAGAAGAAGAGGGTCTGCAGGTAAACGAGTAAGAAATGAAGACTGACTCACCTCAGGTTCTGGACTGGACATGGACGGGCTCGGAGCTGCTTTATGCTGCAAAACAACAGCTTGACCAGTTAGAGACGCCCCCTGCTGGTTAAACTGGTTAGAGTCTGAGTGCCTGATTATGTACCTTGGAGTAGCTGGTGACGCTGTCTCTCTGGAGAGAACGGTTCTTCTGCCGCTCTTCGTCGTATTTCAGAGCGGCGAGCTGAGCCTCCCTTCTCATCCTCTCCACACCTCCAGAACCAGAACTGGAACCAGAACCAGAACCAGCTCTCTGGAAAAACACGGATAAGGACATGAGGTGCCGGTTTGCCGCTAATGCGTCCCGTCAGACGACTCCATCGTCATACCTGGCTCTGGGAGCTCGAAGACGCCGAGACGCCGTCGGCCATGTTTCTGAGAGAGACAGAAAGTCAGACAGAAAGTGAGACAGGAAGTGAGGACACACAGATTGAAGTGATTGGGGCCTGGTGTTTTCATTAACCTGCTGTGTCTCTTCATGTCTTCCGCCCGAGCCAAGCTGTTCTTCACTGGGGAACCCTGAGGACATGAACCGGAAATTAGCGCTTTTCAAAATAAGATCTGTCCCGCTTAGGTCAACAACGTTTCCTGATTGATGCAGGCTGAATGAAAGCCTCCAGCAGGAGGGGGCGGAGCCTCACCTCCCTGGTGATGCGTCTCTCGATGTATGCCATGAACTGAGAGCTGAGGCTGCTCCGGTCTGCTCCGACTGAACGGCGCTTCCCTTCCTCTTCCTCCTCCACACAGCTGTCGATGAAGTCTATCTGCTCCAGCTCCCCGTCTGCTGGGGACAGAGGAGGAAGTGAGGAGGATGAGAGGAGGAAGTGAGGAGGAAGTGAGGAGGAAAAGTGAAGGAAGTGAGGAGGATGAGAGTAGGAAGTGAGGAGGAAAAGTGTAGGAAGCAAGGAAGTGAGTCTGTGGACGGCTGAGTGAGTCTCACATGTCCCATTGGGCAGCACATGTCCTCCTGGTCCGGCTCGCCTCTGGTCTCTGACCGGCAGCTCTGACGGTTCCTCTGAAACCTGGAACAGAAGACGGGGTTCTGTTAATGTCTTTGCAGGACGGATCAGAGCTCCGGATCGGAACCGGACGGCTCAGATCCAGCAGTACGGTCTGACCTCGTTGCCCAGCCACCGCTTGTCTCCACTGTCCACGCTGTTGAAGCCCGAGTCCAATGCGCCATATGGTCGCCCTGAATACGCCTCGTCAACACTGCCGAGACACAGCTGCAGTCAGTCATGAGGCTTTTATTCTGAAGGAGCAGCATTACAGTGCGTGTGTGTGTGGGGTCAGACCAGGAGGTCAGAGGTCTCCTGTCGAACTCGGGCAGCTCCGGCGTGGTCTTACTGGCCTCCAGGTTCAGGAACTTGAAGATGTGGACCTTCCCCTTGATGCAGATCTACAGGACAGAACGGCATTAGGCTCAGCCGCAGAGCAGCAGCTGTGATGTCACTTCCTGCGTACCTGTGCGGGCGGGCTCTGCAGCGGGTTGTTGTCCAGGATGATGGCCTGCAGCTGGGTCAGGCCGCGGTAGCAGACGGGAATGGAGATCACTTTGTTGCAGGAGAAGTCGAGGCGCACCAGAGGAAGCTCAGCCAGCTCTGAAAACAGCCACATGGTTCTGATCCGGTTCTGGTTTTGCTCCCAGCTGGACCCTCTGAGTGAATTTACCTGAAGGGAGTCGGACCAGGTGGTTCCTCCGGATGTTCAGGTCTCTCAGAGCCTCCAGCTGACCCACTTGGGACGGTAACGTCCGGATCTCGTTACAGCTCACATCCTGCCGGAACCGACAGAAAGAGATCAGAACCGAACTAAAGTTCTGATCAATAATGGGTCCATCAGGAACCGTACTCACCAGTTCGGTGAGGTGTCTCAGCTGGCCCAGTTCCTCTGGCAGAGAAACCAGTTTGTTGTTGGAGGCGATCAGAACCTTTAGAGGGAGGCTGCAGACGACGGCCGGCAGGACGGACAGCTGGTTCCGACTGGAGGAGGATAGACAGACGGCCGGGTCAGCAGCGGTTTAGATTACTCAACCGCTAATGGCAAGGCTAAGTTTTAACTTAGCATTTTGCTAACTTTGAAAGTTATTCGTGCATTTATCTTCCTTTAAATACATTTTTCCAGATGAATTCTAAAGCAGTAAGCTAAAAATAAACAGCAGGCCAAACGTTTAGCCTAGCGGTTTGCTGCTTTTACTAAGCTTTAAAACATTTTGCACCTATCTTCCCCGTATTAAATTTCTAGATAAATTCCCAAGTGCTAACTTAAAATGATCTCTGTTACTAATAACAAAGCTAGTTTTTAACTTAGCATTTTTGGAAACTTTGGTTGCATTTACAGTAACTTCTTCTGCGTACAATTTGAAAGATAAATTTCGAAGTGTTAATAATAGTGAAGATAATTTAGAAAAGGCTTAGCAACATTAGCTTTTTCTAAATAAAATTTAGAGAAATTTAAATGATTAGCTGTGCTAACAATAACAGAGCTAGTTTTTAACTTAGCCCTTTACTAACTCTTTACTAACCCAGATAAATCCTAAAGTACTAATTTATTTCATTCCTCATGCTAGCTTATTTTACAGAGATGACGCACACAGACAGATTGAAAATGTTTGTAACTGATGCATTGCATCTAGAGTAGTTGCATCAGCTGATGCACAACTCTGCGTAGTTCAGAAATTTTTGTAGAAGTTTTGCTTATTAATTCTTTAAGATGATTAGATGTTTATATTCATGCTCTTATTTTGAAGTCTGTTTACACAGCAGATCCATTTCCTGTCTTCAAGTTCTCTACACCCTTACAGATGGAGACAACGGGATAAAACCTCAAACTTTACAATGCATTGCAAACTTTGAACCTTGCAATGCATTTGCAAGTTGGCGGACATTTGTGTGTGTGTGTGTGTGTGTGTGTGTGTGTGTGTGTGTGTGTGTGTGTGTGTGTGTGTGTGTGTGTGTGTGTGTGTGTGTGTGTGTGTGTGTGTGTGTGTGTGTGTGTGTGTGTGTGTGTGACCTGAGGTTCAGGTGTGTCAGGGCCTGCAGGTTCACCAGGCCGTCTGGCAGAGATCTCAGGCAGTTCTGGTACAGGTTCAGATACTCCAGAGACACAAAGAGGCAGACCTCCAGAGGAAGCTCCGACAGCCGGTTCCGGGACAGATCTGGACACACACAGTTCAGTTAGACGCTGGTTCTGGTTCTGGTGATTAATCATCAGATGGCTCTGGTTTCTGACTCCAGATTAAATAGAAGTGATTTTGCTGAATCGCCAGGACTCCTCTCTGTTGCCGTTGTTCTCCTCCCACCGTCACTCACCGCTGACTCCTCTGCCAGCGACACGATGCAGAGCCGACCCACAGATGCTATATTTATCAGAGCAGCTGTGAGGGCTGCAGGAGGCACTCATCACCACGGTAACCTCAGCTTCCTTGTTTTTAACAGCAGCTGGTGATGCTCATCAATCCACCATCACAAACAGGAAGTGGTTCGTTGGGGGACTTCCTGTTTGTTTGTTTGCCACCAGGCCTTCGGCTCAGATTCTGGGAGAGATGGAGCTGCAGCCGGGAGTTCTGGGTAACGTAGTTTGAACTGCTGAGGGAGAGTGGTGAACCACAGACCAAAACCACAGAGTTGGGTTTCAGTTTGATCTGACAGGAACCGCAGAGAGAACAGCTGCTGTCAGAGCGGTTAGGAAGGCGATCGAAGCACGCCCTGTTAGCGGAGAACGATCTGAGCGCGCTCAGTTAATAGAGAGTGATATGAGCGCGCTCTATTCGCTGGTAACCAGGTGTTCCTGTTTATAGCAGGGACAGAACCAGAGGCAGAACCTCCTTCAGGGCAACCAGTGTGTTCAGCATCGGTTACAATCGTAACCCAACAGTCCAACGTTACCGTAGATGGATGAAACGGCTTTAAAATGATCAATCTGGCCTGTTTGGAAACACTTCATTCATCCTGAAGGAAAGTTAACTGTTGTGGGATCATCCAAGTATCTTCAAAAAGTCATTAAGAATCTCCAGCAGCAGTTTAGTTTGCAACGAATCTGAAGAGGCCTCTGACCGAAGATAGTGATAACATGCTAGCAGCTCCATGTCAGGGCAGTGGAGATGATCTCCTCTGGGGTTTTGGGTTGTAGTTCAGGTGTTATCTCAGAACTCTGAGATGCTAATCAGCTGCTCCTGTTTGTGAAAGCAAAGCCTTGTTCCCCTGGTTACCACCATAACAACTGTCAAAAAGTATAAAAAGTAAGATCAAAATGCTTCCAGTTGCACACAATCAAAAACCAGACTCAATAGAAAACACAAAGAATAAAATAAAAAAGAAGAAATGAAGCCGTGCAGATGATGGAGTTCCTGCTGAGTTTCCTCCTCCATCACAGTCCGACACAAACAAAGGGAGCCTACATCTGCTCTGTTATGCCCCTCCCCGACCACACTGAACCCCAAAATAAGCACATTGTAATCAATCTTCCTGTATTTTTACCTACAATTTCATCATCTTTTGCTCCCTTTTCTCCCCATCTCTCCCATCTTCAGTGGAGCTTCATAGATCACGCTTTATGTGTTTGAATGATTAAAATAAATCATAATTTAGTTCATCTGTGTTATGCCTGATCAATAATCGGCTGATTTGGCTCTTTGAGGGGGGCGCTTGTTTCCTGATCCACACCGTCCCAAAGGGGCGGAGCCAGCAGTAGGCGTTCAAAACAAAACAACAAAGCCGCACAGGTGTGTCTTCACCTTTCCTACAGGGTCTGATCCGAACCGAACCTCGGACCAGCTGAATCACCAGAGACTGCAGAATAAAACCGGCTGTTTGTGTTTAACCGGTGTGCTGTCATCATCTGTTACCCTGATAAACAGCCCGTCCCCCGGCCTCACCTTCACGAGAAACCATCCTGAAGCAGAGTAGATTCAAATTATAACAGTCATAATACCAGCGTCATACGGCCAGTGTTAACTGGGAACACTGGTAACCAGTGCTAAGCAGAGTTAGCAGAGGTTCCTCCATGACGGAGATTATTTTAAATTTTGACCCCTGGAAAAAACAACCAAACATCCCTTTTTCTATCTGATCTGAGCGGTTAGCGACCAATGAGCGGTGTGACGCCGCTGAGAGAAGAGGAAGCCGGACCTCATGTAGCCGGGGCTCGCAGTTTGTCACAACACCGGCCCTCACTGTTTTCCATCCTCCTCCTCTGGAACTGCAACTTGGATTCAACTTTTCGCCCGATGAAGTCCCCTAAAACACCCCTCCAAACCATCTCACCACTCCCAGCAGAGCTCAGTCCGTCTCTATGTTCTGCTGGCCGCTTTTGGACCTCACTTACCGGCCCGGACGGTGTCGGTCAGGTCGTGGTTGGCGGCGCTCCGGGGAAACTCCTTCAGCTTCCTGCCGCTGAGGTTCAGACAGCCGCTAACCGACGCTTCTTCCAGCGCCCGGTCCAGGGAGCGGTTCCAGGACGCTGGGCCCGGCTGGCCCAGTCCATTAGAGTTTCCGAGGATAGCATTGCCACCGGCTCCGACCGTGAAGTTAAGTCCGGCGCTTTCCGCAGACCCCAGTAACACCGAGGCCGCCATTACACGCTCCGGCTGTTAGCCCCCGATGCTAACGGCTGCTGTGGAGAGGAGCATGCGCAGTGCGGCGCGAGGAGGAAGCGCAAACTGACCAGAAACAGTTACTAGTACTACATAGTACTGCTGTATATTAATGCATTATTACGTAATGACTACACATATTTCTGTATAGCCTTGTACTTGTAGAGTAGTGTACTGTCACAATACTATTGACTGACACCAAATACTTATATACTCTAGTAGCAATTTGGTATTTAAGACTTATTACAATTATTGCTGTATTCTACAGATACAAATATAAAACTACAGACCAATCATACTTCCCTAAATTACAGCGATGCTACAGAGTGACCAAAAATACTGTACACTAACTGGCAAAGCACATATGCTATAGTATATTCCCACTAATATACTGTAGTTTGATCCCAAATACAGCCATATACTTATACTACTAGAATACTGCAGACTCAGAAATATTTTTTTGTGCTGCTATTAATACCACTGATACAAAATACCACTGTACTGCTTTATAATATTACAGTATTACAAAATGATCATACAAATGACTGTGTATTACTGCTAACACTAACGCAATCCTACAGGCTGACTGTGATATTGATGTTGTGCTACAAAGTGACCATATAAACCACTGTATACTAACACGTACTGCACTACAGCCAAGGCACAATGCTAAAGTACACAATTATAGCCTGCTACGCATTTTATACAGTATTACAAACTTACTACAAACTGAAATAAATATTAATACTGTTGATACAACTAGAGTACTACACTCTAGACTGATCACAGTATTTCTATATTTTACCACAGTGAGTGGAAATGCCACTGTATGCTAATACTAATACATTACTAAAGACAAACCACCAATATTATTGCATATTCCCATTAGCAGTATTAGACTGATGCCAAATACTGCTGTATACGAGAAACTAATTCTACTACAGTGCTACAGAGTTATAAGTATTGTTTTATATAATTATTGATACCATTGACATGAACACAAAACTACATACTGACAAAATAGTGCTATATACTTGCCCCCTGGGGTACTACTGCATATTACTATCAATAAAACCATACTGTAACACAGCTCAAGGAGAAATATTAGTGTATTCAAGCACTTATAACTAAAATAGACTGATCATAAAGAGTACTGAATAGTACTCCTAATAGTACTATACAGTACGACTCCCGTTTGTAATGAGAACTTGAAAATTCGAATTTTCAAGTTGGAAAATCCATTAAGATAATTTATAAATACTAAAATGATTAATTGTGATTAAATAATTAAATTACAGTTTTGATCAAACGGCTCGTTTAAGATGAAAGTTTAGGAACAATCAAAATAAAATTATGAAACTTATCTGGCACACAGAAAGATTTGCGTCTTTGTACATCTGATTTTTTAATTTATATTTAGTAAATATTTATGGAATCTTTTCCATTTAGAAAAGCATGAGAAATGGAATTTGAATTTGAGAGGCATCTCGCGTGACGTAACGGAACCAATAAACTTCATCCCCCATAATCCTGAGCGGTGTCGCATTCTGGCGCATGCGCACTTCAGTGGTGTCCAGGGCCGGGTATCATGGCGACGTACGTGGACATCCTGAAGAGAGAGTTTCCTGAGATTGACACGGAGCTCTTCGACTACATCACAGGTGAGACACCGGGGAAAGAGTAGCTGTGAGCCGGCAGCTTATAGCCGCTTGGAGCCGGGAGGCGGGAACGAAGGCAGCGGCCGCCGGCTCCGGTTGGTACCCACACAGCGGCCTTTAGTGCGTCTGTGACCCGGGCAGCCGCGGCTCTCTGGCGGCTCGGCTCCCCGGGGTGATTGAGCCAGAGCCGAGAGACTCAGGGAGCGCCGACCCGCGCCAGGCTCGGGCTGAATCCGGGTCAGAATTAGAACCACAGCAGCTGCCATTCGGGGCCCTTCAGAACAGCAGGCAACCGGGCGCCATGTTTGTAGGAAAGTAAGTGATACGGATGAGGTTGGACTACAAACAGGGCTCTACTCAGACTCAGCACGTGTCGGGTCCTTTCTGTCATGTGATTGTTTTAAAGTTAGCATCACTGGCAAAGTATGACTCAGACACAACATTGTGACCCCTCACATTAGCTGCTGTAGCTGGGAGGGTCAGAGGTCAACCTTTGCCAGGAGAAACTTTGGAGATGTAAAACCAGAGGGTTTCCATGCATGGAAGCGTGGTCCAGCTGACAGGAGTGTAACCATGGTAATGTCCTGCAGGTGTATTGGACAGCAGCGCCCCTGACTTTGAGGATGGCGAGGAGGTGTTTGACGCCATCGGTGGCGTCCTGCAGGACGTTTCTGCTGACAGTAAAAACGAGGACGACATCAGAGACATCTGCCTGCAGATGTTCAACACCCTGAAGCTGTGAGATCCCTCTGTGTGATTGGTCTGTCATGATGATGATGATCAGGAGGTAAACGTTGGGTTTGTGCTTCCAGGAACAACCATCATCATGCTCAGAAGCAGATGCTGCTGGACGCTCCAGTGCAGCTCTCTCAGATGTCCGCGGACTCTGGTAATGTTGGACGGCTCTAAGATGGCCGCCCAGGTTTGACGAGTTGTTTCCTTTGGTTTTTATCAGCCTGATGTTGATCTGTGTGGTTCTCCTCAGTCTCAACAGCCAAGGACATCCAGGGAATCTGGATGATGAAACGTCCCCAGAACACGGTGAGTCTGCACTCATATTTACTTACTGACCTTACAGCAACCTCAGCCTCTGTGGTTCCCCCTGGCCTGCTGGAGAAATGGGTTCTAATGACCTCTGACCTTCTGCCTCTGTGTTCTTGTCGCTCTCCAGACAGTCGATGCCAAGAAGCTGGAAAAAGCTGAAGCCAAGCTGAAAGCCAAGAATGAGCGCAGGACCGAGAGGGATACTCAGAAAGCCACCGGTCCGCCGTGAGTCACTGAGTGACAGGATCTGTCCTTACCTGTCTCCATTCAGATTTACTCATCTTTCTCTTCTCTTGCCTGTCTCCACTTGTTCTCTCTCCTGTCTTCTCTCTCCTGTCCTCCAGGGTTCTGGAGGAGGCGTCAGCCAGTCAGGCTAGCAATAAGAAGGAAAGCCGCGCCGACCAGTCGGGGAAGAACCGCAGCTACGACATCCGAATTGAGAACTTTGACATTTCATTTGGAGAGAGGTGAGAACTGCCTTCATCACAGCCAGCAGGTGGCGCCGTTTAAAATCGTGCTTCATTTCATGTGTTGTTGTTGCTCTCAGATGTCTGCTGCAGGGGGCGGAGCTGTCCCTGGCGTCGGGCCGGCGGTACGGTCTGATTGGTCGGAACGGACTGGGGAAGACCACGCTGCTGAAGATGCTAGCTAGCAGGAACCTGCGAGTACCGGCCCACATCTCCATCCTGCATGTGGAGCAGGAAGTGGCAGGAGACGACACGATAGCACTGCAGAGCGTGCTAGAGAGCGACACGAAGCGCGAGGACCTGCTTGGCGAGGAGCGGCGGCTCAACGCGCGAATCGCCAACGGAACGTAAGATCAAGCTAAGGTTATGGCGAGGGATTTCGTCTCAGCACGAACTGTGACGTTGAGTCGTTGTCATTTTAGGGCCGACGGGATGGAGAGTGTGCGATTGTCGGAGATCTATGCCAAACTAGAGGAGATCGAAGCCGACAAGGCCCCGGCACGGTAACTACGGCAACACATTAGTTGCACAAAGCCTGGTACTGGAACGATTCTTTATCCCGTCTGCATCTTATCGTCCAATCAGAGCCTCCGTCATCCTGGCTGGTCTCGGGTTTTCTCCCAGAATGCAACAGCAGCCCACCAAGTGAGTAACGATCAGACGTTGTTGGTTTTCTGTGTCTGGACCTTTCGGAACCTGCATGGTCTCTGTGTGCAGGGAGTTCTCTGGAGGGTGGCGCATGAGGCTGGCGCTGGCCAGGGCGCTCTTCGCTCGGTGAGTTTCCAACGTTTCCTCTCCGTCAGGTCACATGATCCCTGATTTACCTGTCTGTGTTTCCTCCACCAGACCTGACCTGCTGCTGCTGGACGGTAAGTTACCCCATCTACCCCGGCCCCATTTACCCCAGTCCTAACTGGCCCTGCCCCATCTAGCCCCGCCCTCTTGAACGTCCTCTTATGACTGTGTGTTTCAGAGCCGACCAACATGTTGGACATCAGAGCTATTCTGTGGCTGGAGAACTACCTGCAGGTCTGTAGCCATAGCATCACTCATAGGAAACAATGGAGTCATTAGCCGCAAGCTAATGTGAGCTGAATGACTCGTCCCCCTCAGACGTGGCAGTCCACCATCTTGGTCGTCTCCCACGACAGAAACTTCCTGAATGCCGTGGCGACAGACATCATCCACCTGCACTCGCAGAGGCTGGACACTTACCGAGGCGACTACGAGAACTTCCTGAAGACCAAAGAGGATCGCCTGAAGAACCAGCACCGAGAGTACGAGGCCCAGATGCAGTACAGGCAACACATACAGGTACGACCGGGTCCAACAAGACACTACAGGGCCTAGGCTAAGTCCTGAAGCTGCCCTGGGCCCAGGCTAAGTCCTGAAGCTGCCCTGGGCCCAGGCTAAGTCCTGAAGCTGCCACAGGCTCAAGCTAAAACTTGAAGGGACCCCGAGTGCAAACTAACACTTAGTGTTTTTGTTTCAGGTTTTTATTGACAGATTTCGGTACAACGCCAACAGAGCTGCCCAGGTCCAGAGTAAGATCAAACTCCTGGAAAAGCTGTAAGTTCCCATCCTGACCTCATGTTGTTTCTCTTTGTGTTTTTCATGGACATTGTGTTTTGTGTTTTACTATTTCTGGAGTTGCGTTGCTTCTCCTGCTGATGTAACTTGTTGTGTCCTGCAGACCGGAGCTGAAACCAGTTCAGAAGGAATCGGAGACCACTTTGAGGTAAGAAGATCAGGCCTTCACAAACTGGAAGATCCACCAGAGAAGAGATGCTGCTGCTTATGGATTAATAATTTCCTGTTTTCTTGTAGGTTTCCAGATAACTTTGAGAAGTTGTCTCCCCCTATTCTTCAGTTAGATGAAGTGGAGTTTTACTACAGTCGAGATCAGCCGCTCTTCTCCGGACTTAACCTGTCGGCTGACCTCGAGTCTCGCATCTGCATCGTATGTATCATCAGTTCATCAGAAAGTCGCCCAGTCCAAGACTTACAGCATCAACTCTGAACTGGTTTTGCTGGCAGGTTGGTGAAAATGGTGCTGGTAAAAGTACCATCCT